CGTATGTCCGAGCCCCCTGGTACCAATATCCGGAGCAACTTCTCGACAACGTCAACGAAAATGGCGGCACACATCCCGCCTTCCCCTTCCTCACAGGCATGGGCGGCACGAACCGCGTCGCTATCTTCGCATACCTGGGTCTAGGTCTCTACTACGACAAACTGGACATCGACCCCTCCCTACCCCCTCAAATCCCATACCTCAACTACCGCACTTTTTACTGGCAAGGCCACGGCATAAACGCCACCTCAAACGCCACACACACCACCCTCACTCGCCTGCCACAAGACACCTACACCCTCCCCTCGGCCAACAAAACGTACCTCACCCGCCCCATCCCCGTCACGGTCGGGACACGCAACGGGCGCGCAAACTCTAGCTTCACCCACTTCCTCGACTTCTCAGAACCCCTCGTCGTGCCCAACCGCCGCATCGGCGAAAAACAAACCGTAGCAGGTAACATTTTACAATGCGGCTCTCTCCTGTCCCCGAATCAAGGTAATCAGCCCGGCCAATTCCCCATTGCTGCAATCGACGGCGCTGCAAGCACGAAATGGCAGCCAGAAGATTCAAATATTACATCCTGGCTTACCGTCGACTTGTACTCGTCTTCCTCTCCCCACTCACTCTCCAAAGCCGCAGCATCAACATCATCAGCGGCGGTGAAATCCGTCCCTATCCGCCATATATTAATGGACTGGGCCAACGCCCCTCCCGCCACTTTTGAAATCTACTTCTCAAACACCTCGCTCCCGCCTTTTGACGGCGCCGACGACGACGACGCCAGACTAGTTGTCCGCGCAAATGTGTCGCTGAGTGCGCCCTGGGATCCCGTCTCTGCGTATGAGATTCGCCCGTATGTGGGGAATCAGACGAATGTGACGCTGGATGGGGTCGTATGGAGTGGCCGATTTGCGCATTTGGGGGTTAAGGGGAATTTGTGGGGGAGTGGGGTGCGGGAGGGGGGGACGGTGGCGGAGTGGAATTTGGTGGTGGAGGAGGGGTGGGTTTGATGCCAGTGGGAGGAGGGGAGGTGTAGGTGGAGATTTGGGGTTTGATGGTGGATGGATTGGTGGTTTTTTCTAATCTAGAATGGAGGGATGGTTGGATATATGGTGTTGGGGATAGTCATTATGTTTTAATAGATTCGATGACATGGACTCTTTTACAGGCGTAAAATGGCCCCATAGTAATCAGCGCTTCATTGTCCTTCACCTTTGATCTCCTCATCTCCTTCCCCCCGCCGCGTAATCACAAAACTCGTGCAATACCCAGCTGCAATCATTTCGATCCGGCCTGCTATCTCGAGTTCATTCCAGAACCCACTGAGCATGTCGTTCTTCACTTCACGTCCGATACTGGATAGATTGCCACAGTTGCCATGCTTGCCCCACCCCCAAGAGATGAGTTTCCCGTCGGTCGTCAAAGCGAGAACATGGTCTGAGCCGACTGCTATTTTGTCGATGAGAGGCAGACTAGGTGGAAGGAGTTGCCACATATTTTCCTTGCCCCAGGCGAGGAGCGTGCCGTCGGTTAGCAGGACGACGATGGCGTGCCAGGTTGCACCGACGTCTTTCCATCCCTTGACGGTTTCGGGCTTGTTGGAGATGATGCTGAATTTGTCTTTGCCGAGGACGATGTGTTCGCCGGTGGATGGGTCGCCTACTAGATAGCTAAAGTCCTTGCCGCATACCACTTTCCTGGGCTTAAACGGAATGCCTTGGATTTTTGTGGGTTCAGTGACTTTGCCGTCGAGTGCATCCCCGAGTTGACCCAGACGAGCCTTGCCCCAGCCATAGACGGTGCCGTCTTCGAAAATCATAACATAATGCCACGCTCCCGCGGCAAAGTCGATCGCAGCACCAGGAAGGGTTTTCCTCAGTGCATCAGGCCCCAGCGGGACGTCAGCCGTACTTGAAATCTGATCCCCACGACCGAGCTCACCCCAGTGACTGTAACCCAGCGTACAGATCCAAGTGAATGGTTGAAAAGGCGCGGGTGTCGACGGCCCAAACGGCACCGTGGAGTATGTTTCACCAAGCGACTCTTCCATGGCAAGAATGAAGTCTGGCTTCTTGCGGGGAACGAGTACAATGGCAGAGGATTCGCATGTAGCTGCTACCAAATTCCCACCTGACTGGAGTCGTTCGAATCGCTCCAGTCGGTGGCTGTTGTTGAGCACCTGGTGCGGCGCTATTTGGCCTTTGCGATTGGAGCCTGTTCCGTAGAGGGTGGTGTTGGAGATCTGCAAAAGGGTATGGTTGTCTCCTGAGTGGATGGATACCAGGTCCTCGAGTGGCAAAGGGTCTGGTACTAAGGTTGGGGTATCGACGATGTCTGCAGCTGGTATACCGAGCTGGCCTTCGCCATTGCTGCCAAAGACATACAGTTGGCGGGACATTATGGAAAAGTAACTTCTGGAAAAAATTGATAATTGGTGTCAATCAAGTAATAGAACCGAAGCAAGAAAACATGTACATCCTGCCACCAGGAAACGCATCCACGAGAACACGAACACTAGACGCGATACACGACATTTTCATACTCCATGGGGCGAAGAAGGTGTCTGGAGAGAGGGGGAACGCCAAGATCCAATTGGTGATGGGTGGTTTCCGAGACTAGCGTCGCACGGACGCCCACAGTAATTCGGCAAAGCAACCCACGACGACCAACATCTTCGCCTACGACGTTGACCACAGCCAGCAAAAACCCCGACGCCCACCACCCTCATCGTACGCTAACCTCACAGTCGTCAATATGGCCTCCCAGAGCGTGCAATGCTTCGGCAAGAAGAAGACTGCGACCGGTACGACTGTCCCCCCTTTAGGCCTGTCGAATGGCTGTTATGTGTATACACGGTAGAATCATGGAAGCTAACGTATTTTTGCACAACAGCTGTCGCCCACTGCAAGGTACATACCGAATGCCATACGATGGAGCGCGCATCCAGAAGAGATTACTCACGATGATACATAGGCTGGCAAGGGCCTCGTTAAGGTCAACGGAAAGCCTCTTTCCCTGGTCACCCCCGACATCCTGCGATTCAAGGTCTACGAGCCCATCCTGATCCTCGGTGTTGACAAGTTCGGTACGCATCCTTGCAGAAAAAAGCATTCCAAAATACATACGGGACTTGTGTATATGTGAAGGAGAGGACATGGCTAACGGATTATCGCAGCCCAAGTCGACATCCGCGTCCGCGTCTCCGGCGGTGGACACACCTCGCAGATCTACGCCATCCGTCAAGCGATTGCCAAATCCATCATCGCCTACTACCAAAAGTATGTCGACGAGCACTCGAAGAACCAGCTCAAGCAGGCCCTCGTCCAGTACGACCGCACACTGCTCGTTGCCGACAACAGGCGGTGCGAGCCCAAGAAGTTTGGCGGTCCAGGTGCGCGCGCAAGGTACCAGAAGTCTTACCGTTAAGCGGTTTCTCTGGGGGCCGTCTCTGGATCTACGCTGCTGGGAAATTTTGGGGGAAAGGAAGATGGTGTATGCGGAGCATGGAGCGGTGTTCTATCATCCTGGGCTTTTCCATGGGTCTTCTTACACACAACCACTTTCCGGCACGGTTTACGTGGTAGGGCGCGCTACGGGCGTCTGAAGCGATTCCGGATCTTGTGACGATAAAAATGAATACATTGGTTGCAAGGCATGACATATACATGAACACGGCTGTAGCGGATGGTGAGAAGTTGATGCCTCGTTCTTTTCGTGGGTGTGATGTGGCAGCCGCGGTGCTCGAGACACAACCTAGGATATGAGGGAATGAGGCCAAGTATTCGAATATGCCTGACACCTTCGAGGGCATTGACAATCACTAACCAGCCTGTCTATGTGAATGAATATGCACTACAGTACGCTCTACTCAGTCCAGCACCAGCACCATCAACGGCCATGCAAAAAGGCCAATCAAAATGACCACGACTGGCGCTCCCAAGCATTACAAATGTTACAAATGTATATAGCCGTATCCCCTCCACATCGCACTCCTACTTCGAATGTTCCACACCAAATCCCGCCTTCATTCACACCAACACCAACATCACGAAGAACAATACAGCAGCCTAACCATCGCTACCCGAACTCCTAAACGCCGCACAAAGCGCGGCATACTGGTGAGTGAGATCGAGGACATGTTGGGGAAGACTGGTGCCCTGGATGATGCTGCGAATCTTGACTGCGCCTTCTTCCTCGATGAGTTTGCGAATGGTGTAGAGGAGACTGGGGGAGAACTGGAGTAGGGTATTAGTACAGGTGATCGGAGAGGAGGAAGGAGAGGAAGAGAGTATTGTGGGCGACAACGCCAAGAGTCGAGAGTGTAGTGAAAGACAACGAAAAGAAAAGACATACCTCAGAGTACCACCGATACTGCCACGTAACCAGTCTAATGAGCGCCGCACAAACATCCCGAACTTGTTTGCGCTCCTCGCTCAATTTCAGCACGCCACGCATAGCCTTGGGGCTAAACTTGATCTGCAGACAGTTTTCATACGCTTCCACAGCCTCCTCGTGGTGGTGCAGACGCTCTGCCAGTTCGCCCAGAATCTCCCATTCCTCGGCGCTCTTCTTGTAGAGTAGTTGCTGTTGCCGGTACTGCGCCATTTCCGTGCGCCATATCGTGTACACCCGTAGGTCTTCGTACAGCACCATGAACAAGTTGTCCAGCCAGCGTTCGCATAGGCGCTTGTTCTGGAAATGTGTGTACGTGGGTCCGCCGCTGGGGTGCGAGGACGAGGAGGCGTCGTGATCGTGTGCGTGGGGGTCTTCGCTGCCTGCTTTGACGACTTCTGCGGCGACGGTGTGACCGGGCTTTTCGAGGGAGTCTTGAGCGGCGGTTACGGCTGCGGAGGCTTCGGTGGGGGTATCGCCGTTTGTAGATGCATCAGTAGAGGGGCGCTCGTCGGCTTCGTTGTGGCCGTTGGCTTGCGCAAGGGTGTTTGGGGAGGGTGCACGGAGGGCGGTTGTGCTGGCGCTGCGAGAGTGGGGGGCGGCGGTAGTGTTGTTGGCAGCGTGTGTCGTCGTTTTCTCGTGCCGGTATTCTTCTTCCATGACGAAGACTTGTGAGCGTATTTTGAGAAGTTGGTCCCATCCGATCTTCTTTGTGATCTCGGTGAGTAGGATGTAGGCTTTGAGGAAGGTGCCCTTGAAGCCTGCGGCATGTAGTTTCCGTAATGTTGGGTGGACGAGCTCAATGTCGTCGAGATTGCTGTCTTGGATTTCGTCGCACATTGCTTCGGGCATGATGGGCAGGAAGCGGCTGGCCGCTTGTGATTAATGATTGAG